CCTTCCTGAACTGAGGGGCCCAGAAGATCAATCATACCCATCTGCTGCTTTTATGTCTCTCAAAACAAAGGAATTGGTGGGTTAGCATTCTCTCTGGAGCCAAGAAAAGTACAGAAAATGTTTCTGTATTTCAGATCCTATTTTTAAGTCTGCTCACTTTTCTACACAGATTACTTAATCAACACAAGCTGCTTGCCATTCATAAATACACCCCAGGAGATCAGCAGGGGGACGGGGGCAGGTTGTGTCTCAAGGACTGAAAGTAGAAAGTTGTACTTGCAACAGTTCCGTGGCCTACGAAAGATGATGGCCCAAACTGTTGCCATGTCCACCCAGACAATGGAGATGGGACATTTGGATGTTCACTCTCACCACAGGCTTCAGGCCATCTCTGGGGCATTCAGCATTCAATCCTTTGGCCTGAAGGTTGTTGAACCCCTGAAGATGCCACTTAATCAGCACATCTATGCAGTGTGTGTGATCAGGACTTCCCAGAACATACACCACTTGTCTGTGCTGTGACCACCCGTATTGCCTGCGAAAGATACACACTGCCCATCTTCACTTCATCAGCTGTCACATCAGTGAATTCACAAGCCACGAGGCAATCAGTGCTGGGGAAAGAAGAACTGGGCAAAACCCATAACCCCAGTACCAACCATCAGATGCATCACACCTCCCTACCCCATCCCATTCCCAGCGCCACCAGTGCGTTTAGCTATGATAACTCTCACTTTTGTAATTCCTAACACAGCAGGGGGAAGCATCATCCCACAGGCATCAGATCTGCTCAGTCACACCACTGCCAGCACCTCTTGCTCCTTGAGTCAGAGTAGGAGCAGAGGGGGTGTACTCTGCATAGACCTAGAACTTGAGGCTTATTTTCCTGGGGCTTGTCACAGCTCCTATTGAACTGCCTGTTAAAAAGAGGAGGACAGATTGTAGACAGGAGGCAAAAGGTGTCCCCAGTGACAATTCTGACTCTAAGCAAGTTGTTGCGAAACAAGCTCCCCTCCTCACAGTGCTTTAGCTTTGGTGCAGTATTTTAACATACCTAAACAGAAGAAGTTAGAATTGTAAAAATGCACACCCGGAGCATCACAGCTTCATTACATTTTATATTATTTCTTTTAAAGAAACCCTTGAACTCATGGTCTATTTAAATAACTTATGACAGGTCTGCACTCCCTCCTGCTGCCACTCACCTCTCACCTGCTTTCTGTGGCTGGCTGCAACCCACACTACTGGGCATGCACAGGAGAGCAGAGACTGGTGCACAGTACTAAGTGAAGGGGACAGGGACGAGTACTAAATGCCACGTGTATCTCCAAGAGGAGGCATCTCTTCTGTGCCCCAATTGCCTAACTGTACCCATTGCCTCCAACAACAAATTGCTTTTTCCCTTTCAGAATATTGTGCACAATCTATTGCAGACCACAAGACAGTTTCCCTTCTCTTTATGTGAGCATTCCTACTGGAAACTAATCTCCATTAATCTTGAAAAAAAAAAAAATAGCTAACAGACCTTAAAAAAAGTGGCTGAAGAAACGATGTCAATGAATTGCAGATAAAAGCAAGAAGAGCTACTGAAGTACATAAAACTCCAAGTAAGTAGTGCTATTCTGCAGAGAAAATGTAATCTGACAAAGTTAAAAGCAAAAATGTGAAAAGAAACCCAAAACAACAACCCAAACCTTATCAGTTTCACTTGATCATTTTTATGCAGAGGGAAGTTCAACAGTATTTTCAAATACAGCTTTTCAGAAGAGTTTCAGAAGTTTAACTGCTAAAATGCTGAGGATAAAGTTGTTTCTAAACAAAATATATTTCACATCAAGTAAAGCTTTGTCTGCTTGAATATGAGCAGTCAGTTGTTGAATTCATACTACAGTAGGACCCAAAAGTCATAAAAATTATATGTGTAAGCCTATTCATACAAGGAATTAAGTGAACTACCTCAGTACAAAATAAAAAGTAACCACAACAAGATTTGCCACAATTAAACTGATTTATTACCTTCTGGCAAGTCCCACACAGCATGATCTTTCACTCACTATATTAAAACATTACTTAACTTTATACAAACTGTAAACATCTTCAACATGACAAACTGTTGGTACAGGTGTTCCCTGATGCCAGCATCTTTTCTCTGTCCATCAAACAAAACTGAAACCCAAATAAACCAAAGAACCTTTTTCACTGAGTATCTCTAAAATGCAGCATGTGCATTTCACATCACATCAATTCTAAGCAACACAGAACAGTATTTCTGGTTATTATTTTAGTGAAATTCATAGTGGTTTTATGAATAGGAATATTTTTCCATGCTGTTGTATCCTACTTTTGGATGAAATTAAAAAACATTGTTTTCTACAATCAAAGTAGTAAACCGAATTCTACAGTAAACCAGCTGGTTTGATATATGAACCAGCTATATTTGCTAGACTGTAACAGATAAATAAAGATATAAAAACTCTTGATTTGGTTAATACTTTGTTTTCCTGACAGGCACCAATCTAAAGAACTGCTTGTCCAAAACCCCCTGCTGTAATTGCCTGATTTCCCCCCCTCTCTGAAAGTGCTTCAAATCAGAATTAATCTGATCCATAAAGTGAACACTTCTCCCCTTAAGTAAGAGCAGATCTTTCCTTCTAATTTATAAGTTCTAGGAAAGTCAATCTGCTGGTTAGCTTTACTGAAGGACTACAAGATGCATACTGTTAGCTCATAATCCTCAAACCAGGGCAAAGGTGTGTTATCTTGACATGAACTGCTTTTCTCCAAACCAACTCAGCAGCACTAAAATACAATTCTGTTACTGGCTAAGGCTTTAAAAAACATAATTTAAAAAAATCACTTCTCTTGTTAAAAAACATTTGCATTACAACTTTGGTTTTAGTATGCTCCTAATTTTGAAGTCGCATTTACAGTGACTTAAAAGACAAAAATCTGTTTCTAATGTAAAAAGTCAGGCCATTTTAAACTCCCACCTTTCAAATTGCTGTGCATAGTAAGAAGCAATTACTATAAACCTAATTCTTCTGCAGATCACCTTTAAAGTTACTGACAAAACGCAAGGTGGTTATTTCTACACCTGTATGCAACCAGCTGTTTTAAGCATTAGAAAACATCACGCTTTAGATGACAGACCACTTAGATCAGCAAAGCCATAAATAATGAGCTCACACGAGTTTCACTACCTGAAGTGAAGACATTAAGGAGTTCTTTGTAACATTTCTGTGTCGTTGAAATGCACTGATGAAAGAATGAACAGCACAGTTAACTTGCATCAATATTATGATGTACAATCATAAGCAACAATGCTCTTCCTACAGACTCAGTATCAGGAACAGCATCAAGTGTTCAGTTTCTTCTGCCAGCTGAAAAAACCCTACCTCAAACCTTGATAAAAGTCGTAGATCAAAGTCTTGAAGATTATGCAATTCCTTAGCCCAGCAAGACATTCTACTACTAGATTTGCCTCCAGGTCTTCTCTGCCCAAATAAAGAAGGGGATCCTTACTACAGCATTAAAACTAGATCCTGACAGAACTAAAGAAACATTGCAGAGGATATTCCATCAACCAAAATACAACCAATTATTTCAAATGCCTTAACTCCCCCATTACCATCAAAATCTGACAAATATTATTACAGGAACCTTCAGGTAACTCTAATTCTTCAGCAGAAATGCAGATTAACCAAAACATTTATTACTCAGTATTTTCACAGCAGCATGGGAGGAAGCTCTATAAAAAAAAAAAAAAGTAGTTCTGATCTACACAGGCAGCATTTTGGAGACGATCTTCTTAACATAACTAATACCACCAAGTTCAAAATACTGTTGTGTGGTTTTGGTTTGGTTTTGTTTTAAATCAAGACCTATTTCTGATTTGTAGTCAAACTTGTGTCTCTTTTTTTTTTTCTCATTTTTAATCCATTCCATTTAGTTTCACTTTCCAGTCTGTCTGGGAATTGTCGGGAGCCCAACACATCACAATGCAAGTATTATCCATGTGGATGCATGACTGCTAGCTGCTGTTTTCTGTAGCAGCATCTGTTAGAAGTTTTACAGAATTGTAATGTTCTCCTAATCCATAGGCATGCCTCATATACCTAAAAAGAATAAAGGTTACAGAGAATTAGTGCTTAGTTTAACTAAAAGTGTATGTAAGCCAAACTGTAGCAGCACTGGAAGACAACTTAAAGTTCTACCACAGAACATTAGAGTATGAATTTTCTATATCTGAAGGGCCTACAAGGGAGCCGGAGGGGGACTCTGTGTTAGGAACTGCAATGACAGGACAAGGGTTAATGGGTTCAAACTGAAGGAGGGAAAGTCTAGGTTGGATGTAAGAAAATAGTTTTTTACTATAAGGGTGGTAAGACATTGGAATAGGTTGTCCCGTGATGTGGTGGCTGCCCCAACCCTGGCGATGTTCAAGGCCAGGTTGAATGAGGCCTTGAGCAACCTGATCCAGTGGGGAGGTGCCCCTGTCTGTGGCAGGGGGGGTTGGGACTTGATGATCTGCAAGGTCCATTCCAACCCCTAAAATTCTATGATTCTGTAATTAATAAAGACAGTTTTTAATTCTCACAACTTTCAGAAACAGACTGACATATATTTTGAAGAGGGAAAAACAGTTCCCTCATGCTTCTCATATCAATTTCCCTATTGTTTTGTAATTATCTAACAGGTAAATTGACCTTAGAGCATTCTAGAAAGCAGTGACTGATACACATCAGATGGACTGTCAGTATTTTAAGTACTCCAATTACAATTTCTTTAAACCGTGTCAAGCACAATTTCTGACCTGCAAAGATCATTATTCAAGCACCATCTCAATGTCAAGACATGTAACTGAAAACAAAAGAGCATGTGAGAATCAACGCTGAGTCCTCTGCTATAGAAATAAATGCACTTATTTTAAGGGATAAAATGATATACTCACACAAGTGTTATTGGTTTGCCTGAATATTCTTCACCAACAATAATGGGAGGGGAATCCATCTGCACTACTTCAATAGGTGTTTGCAGAATGTGAGACAAAGCCCTTAGCTTTAAGGCATAAAAACAATTTAGTATTAGGATTGAATCCAATGTAGGGAGGAGAGAAGATGACTAGGCATGTAATTTTAGCAGACAGTTCAAGCATAACTTCAAAAATATTGTCAGAAAATAAACTTCATTAAAATAAGCAAAATTATTTTAACTTTTTAAGCTTTAATTGAAAGCAGGATGCCTTACACTAATCATTGTTTTGAGGATATAACACTGGGCTAACTTTAGTCATTTGCTAACTATTTTTACATAAAACAGTAAGACAAACTAAAACAAAGGCATTTTGTCACACTCAGGTTCTCATTTACATGACAAAAACCTACCATTACTCTGCTCTAGTCAGCTTTGCTACCATCTAAGTCTTCCCCCACTCAGTGTCAGTCTTTCCAATGATATTTAAAACTACTGAATTCATTAACTTGCATGTTATCAAATACATCAGAACAGCAGTGCACCATCAGAAAAGGTACTACTTTGGGAAAACAAGTTATAACCATAGAAGAAAGTTCTTGATAAACTATTTATGACTATGTTCCCATATGCCTTCAGATACTCTTTCTTAAGAAACCTTTTCTGAAAGGTATATTCACCTACTTCAGAATTTCACTAACAAAAATTATTGATACAATACTTACTTCCAGCTGACCACCCCATGCAGCTGTATTTGCTATATCATCACAGTATTTCTCAAATTCCTCTGCAGAGAAAGAAAAGACAACTTTTAGTACTTCTTTTATTTGAGAACAAACAACTGAGGAAAAATATTGATTGTACAACGAAGAACTAGAACCAGAGAAATACAAACACATTATACAGGAAGCTGTTTATGTTCACTGAAGAGAAGGAACAAAATATAAAAACACCAGAAACAAAAACCACCCCAGTTTCAAACAGAAAATTTCAGACTGAAGACAGGAATAAAAACAAGTATAACAAATACAGTTTATACTTTAAACTTCTTCTTCAGGGAACTGGTAACAACAAACATGAAAATGCATAGAGTTTTCTTCCTGTGAAGTTTCAGAGGATATTGAGAGACTCTGGCAAAAAAAGTGATAGCAAGGAATATGCTTAATTCTCACATCAGCCAGGTGTCAGGTATGTTTTAAAAACCTTGTAAAAATCAACTGTCCAACAGTTGTTTGTTTTTTTTAAATTTCCAAATTAGCTGCCTTGGTTTTAAACTCTGAAGTATTTATTTCAAATAGTTCCTTTGTAAATAGCTAAATAAACCATTTTCAGATCATGTTCTACAGAAACCAAGTTTAAAATTTATAAATTACAACCCTTCAGGCTTCTGAACCCTACCAAGAGATTGTGAGGGAGAAGAATCTTCAGATTTTCTGAAGACTGCTCATAATTATTTTGCATACATTCCCCTTATAACAGAAAACCACAATTCACAGCTGTTCTGCAGAACCTCATTTAGTACTCTCCTGGGATACATTTATCCTGTGACAATTGTCTGTGTCAACACAGGAAAGACACCACCTACTCCACAACAGCCCCCAGTGACCAAATGAAATCCACAGCAATACCTATTAAACAAATGTGGAATTAAAGAAAAAATATGCAGTCATTTGCATGGTGTTCGAGGCACAATGAATAAATCATGTATTGCTCAAATAAGAGGTACATAAACTCCATTTAACTGCATTCACTCAGCCTTCACCATTGCTCCACACTAAATCTCTTAAGTTTTTTAAGAATGGGCTCCAACAGAACTAGTGGAAACAGTGAAAATAAAGGGTACAATAAGAACATTCATTTATGCAAAAGACAATAAAACACATGTGCTTGAATTTCGTGTTCATTTTTTAACAGCTTTCCTATGCACATTGAAAACACAAACAAAACTTGACCAAAAAAAATCCCCAACCTGGTAGACAAGCTTACAATGACAACTTAAATTACATCTCAGAACATGATTATCATCAGAACCAGCAAGTTCAAGTATTTTTTAAAATGGGGAATATTTGTTATTTGCTTTAAAAAAAGAGAAGAAAATTAGAGAAATCCAGGCATGCCAAGTTTCACAGCAGAACATAATTACGTGTTCTATAGAACACAGTCAAACAAATGAGGTAATAAAGTTCAAGAACAAACACCATAAAGCTCCCAATTCAGCTGTAACTGAGATGGAGATTTATCAGAAACAGTTAAACAGTTTTAAAAACCTTTATGTCCCAAGTCTTACCTCTGCTATACATGTCTCCAGTATTAGGGTTTGTAAGAAAAGGCAGGAAATCATCCAAGTGACTTTGCATGTATTTTGCTGTTTGGTTCCTCAGAGTTACAACAGTCCAGGAATTTTGGCGATCCTTGAGCTGATCTTCAATAGCTCTGTACATGCAATGGCCATCTGAAGGGATCTGTTTAATCTCTAAGTGCCTTGCTGCCAATAGGGAGGCAAGTTTCTGACTTTCAAGATGTCTAGCACCTGTTAGATTTGCTATCTCAGCTTCAGCTATCCTTTCTTCTCTTTCTTTCTCCAAGGCAGCTTTTTTTTCCTTAAATTAAAAACACAAATATTATGTCAAATGTTAAAATGTAGAAGATGCCTGAACAGTTCTTGGCTTAGTGTTTGCTTATAACTCTGCAAATATTTTCTCAGTACATTCACATCTGTGAAATATTTGCCTGAATTGGTATTAGAGACCTCCTAAACCCAAACTTTAGCAAACTATAAGTCAACAGTATATCTCAACTGCCTCTGACATCACACTCAAAATTATGTGACAGTAGAAATCTTAACTATATCAACATGCAAAGTAACACTTTATAACACTCACAGAGAGGCTATTAACTGTAGTTATTTCTTCAGGATCACCTATTTCACCACTCAAGTATGGGAATTCTCATTAAACACCAGAAAATGCTACTCTTTCATGAAAAAGTGTGAGATCTACCACTTAAGCATATGATTGCCTAATGGAGCTTGTCATGAAACTGCAACTCCCTCATGCTAGGTACTGTACATCCTAAAAGACTGCTCCTAACCTAAAGGCTGGATGAGAATGCATACAGAGAATACTAGAAGGGATGTAGTAATACATTGAAATTACTTTTATAGAATGTTTTGTGATTTCATGGTGAAGCTAACAAGGGAGCAAGAGCCAAAGTAAACGAGCTAATGAAAAAAGGGAGCAGTACAGAGAACAATCTTTTCACTTCCACACTTAAAATTCACCACAAATCAAGACCAGACTGGTTTAGGCAATCACAATATAGGAAAACTAGACTAGATTTCCTAGTTTGCCTGGACATGGAGCCATGAATTAAGAACATCCTTTTATCATGCTTGTAGCGACCATGTAATAGGGGATGGACATTGCAATAAAGTAGCACTCCCCTGGCCCTGAACCAATATTCATGCAGCTACAATGAGAATGTTAATTCATCACAAGTTTAACACCTGAGGCTTAACAAGATTTAAGCCTAAAACCAGGATACCAGGCAGTGTTTCTTAACTCCTCAACATTTTAAAAGAATTTCATTATTAACAGTCTTTTGTTAACTACTTGCATATTTTCTACATAGTATTTCACATTATTTTAAACCAATTACTTCTTTAATCATGTTTTTTGTGAAATTCTTTCAAAATTCATTAGCTTTATATAATTTCTTTTTTCCTGGCTCCCAGCTCCTGACCTATTCTGATTCCCAGCTGAAGGCTGAGGGTAAAAAAAAAAAAAGAAATCCAACTACGTACAAAATTATTTCATATCTCTAAGTAGCAGCTTTACAGAGTTTTCAAGACACCCAGCAGGTACAACACTGAATTAGCCAGGTAATATCCCCTGAAAAATTATTTCACTTTGGATATTACAGTTAGGTTCAATTAAATATAACATTAATCAATTCTTTTTAAAATGTTTAATGTGAAGTCATACCCTCCTCTTCTGTGCTTTTGATATTCGAGGCTGCTGAATCTGTTGGTCTACTCCTTCCAGCTCTAAATTTGCAATGCCATCAGCTATGGAATCTGTCTAAAAAGAAAAAAAAGTTAAATGTTCTTATTAGTATAAATAATAACTAAAAGAAGCATCTTCTGGAACAGTTTTAAGTTCTGTTCATGAGGTTTTACCACAAAGATCTGTGGTTAGCATAGAGCCCATCAAAGGCAAAGTAAGACATTTCACATCCCAAACCACTGTCATGCACTTCATTACTTTTTTTGTATTCTTATCAAAGAGAGAGGTATGAGCTGTGCATCTCAAGTTTAACCTATATGTTCTCTCACATACTGAAGTGTGAACTCTGCTTACTGACTGAAGGGAAAAGCTCTCCTCACTACGCTTAGCCATTGAGGTACCCAAACAGCCATGATCAAGCTCTATGACAACTAAAGCAGAAGACTTCACCTTCCAGTGCAAAGCATTCCCAGCAGTTAGAACAGACAGAGCTGACAATTGTCGAGAAAAATGACAAAGCTAACCTGATAACTGTATGAACAAGATGTCACCTTTGTACATGTTTCAATCCAAATAAAAAAAGCTGAGAAATTAAAATAATGGTATATCTCAAAACAAAATCCTCACAGGAAAAGCTATATCCATGGCAGGGATTTTAGCTTGAAAGGCCCTTCATAGCAAAGTTACAACAGCTCGTTGTAGCAGATTCCTCTGTCTAAGCATGGTCAAAACAGCTAGAACAATATTCCATTTGCAAAAGTTACCAGTGCTGCATAGAGAAGGGTAGGTGACACTGCTCTTGATATTGAAGAACACTGAGACCAGCCTGACTAGTCAATCCCAAAGTTAAGGACTCTAAGGAAGAACAACGTTTCCTGACAGAAACTGGCACTAGCAACGGTGTGTCAGACAAAATTCCTGATAAAGGAACCAACACATGATAGTGCTGGTAACTTCTCTAAAACTGCTGAGCTGGTACAGCAGATCTGGAGGCATCTGACTGACAGTCAACCACTTTATACAACAAAAGCCCAGTCCTAAATTTTAATGGCAGAGTCTTCTAATGTACACACTGCTGGAGTATGTGACTGGAGGTTCCTCCCTCATGTGGGGACACCCCTCAATGTTACTCCTTGAGAATGAGTGAAAGAGATTTGCCCGTGGTCATTGGTATGGGTGAGTGACATCAATCTCTACTTAGCAATTATTTTGTTATCTTTAATATCATTGCATTAATATGGCTTCAATAAATAGCACACTATACTAGTAGTTATAGTTATCTACACTGTGTAACAAGTAATTCTGATTAGGGTCTCTTAGTCTAATCATTATCACTGAATTTGGGAAGAAAACTCCTTAACACCAATGTAGTATTAAGAAGCAGCATTCCTTATTGCAGCACTGGATGCATGGGGAATCGCTCCATCTAACGTGCGTGCCAACCATCAAAACGTTTTACTATTTATACATTTCAGCAGAGCAATTAGTGCCTATTGGTTAAAAGGTACCCAATTCTTACTGATTAGTACTCTATTTAGTACTCTATTTTCTATTCGTTAGTGATTTCTTGCTTATTAGGCTAATTATTTCCCTGAAATCATTACCATAACCCCACCCTCGATTATCATATCCCCTCCCCTGTACAAAGGTGCAATTAATTGAAGCAGAGGTCTTTGAGGGTCTTCTGCAACCCACAGGGGTCATTTCTGATTCTGTCCTTTTGTTGAACTTCTGCTCTTGGCCACAGTTCCTCCTTGGGATGTTCTTTATCAAGTGTTTTGCCAGGTCTAAATTTAATGATCAGTCTGTCCTTCACACACCAAAGCAGGCCTAATCCAAGTATGCATGCACCTAACTTCTGTCTAACAAATGTCCAAGTGGTCTTGGCTATTCTGGCATCTGGTTACATTACCATTATCATCATTGCCAATAAATGATTTAAATGAAACCTTTTTTCTAATCATATATTTGGTTTGCCACCCTTAACTCTGGGGGACAAAGATGTATAAAGGTTCAATTACACATATACAATCCTTTAAACATAAACCACTGACTAAGTCTGTGGCTAAGTCTGGATCCAGCTGCACCTAGACTCCTCTTCGAGGAGGAGTTTAGAAAGCAAGTGGGTCCTTCCTGAACCTCATGACTCAGGAGGGCTTCTCTAATAAACTTTGTTCAAAGTTTCATTTAGCAAAATAAAACAAATTCTTGAAACTAATCTAAGATACAGGTAAACAAGCATTATAGAATCACAGAACTTAAGGGCTGGAACGG